GTGCTCTCCCTGGGATATATAATACATTATGTATTATATATGCTGTGCACCCATTGACACTTGCATCTATGACAATTAATAGAATCAGGCGTTACTTTGCTGAAATAGATTATATCAAAGATGATAAAAATTGTAGTTTATTAACTAAGATATATATAAAAATGATGTGTCCTTACCTAGTTTGAAGAGCACTTCCCACCCTCCTTCAATTGAGTGTTAAATTATTATAGATACTGGAAAGGGAAGGTAATTTATTAACAGATTTGTAAGATAGTTTAGATTTTGTATATAAGTATCCGTTTATATATTTACTATAAATTTTTTTCTTTATTACAAAGTAGATAATATTAAGTAGATAGTTTAAAAATATTTTATTTATTTGCTTTTTGTTATGAGATATAATGTTTTCACTAATTTATTAATTTATGGAGTGGTGTTGCACCTAACACAGCTTCTCAAATCATCCAGGGTTGACTGGTAGAGAATGCCACAAGGCATTAAGTCCACCCTTTATATCCCTTATTATAAGGTAGATGTAAAAAATAATAAATAAATAAATAAATAGTTAATATATTTTATTCAACTACTTACCCACAATACTAGATTGTTTGTATTTACGATTTAAATTAAGTTTGTATCATGTTACCTATTTCCGGTTCTTGGTTTCATCTTGGCTTATCGAATGATCAAGTGCTGACTTATTACTTAAATAATTACTGTCATTTATTATATTTATAAAATAATTTAATAAAGATAAATAAATAACAATTAAATAGCAACAACTGACGCTGTAACCTTGTTAGCTTTCGGCGAACCTAACATCTATGTTATAAAATGTGTATAAACAATTATTATCAGTTATTATTTGCTGAAACATTGATTAAAAGGTGTAGTGTTTGCTTATATGTAGTATACAGTAAATATTGTTATTTGTTTTATTTACTAATAATTTACCATGCACAAATACACAAACATACATTTATATATAAGTCACTGTCTCGAGCGCACCGCGTCAGTTACACGAGAGCCTCGGGCGAGAGTGGACGTGTTGTTTAGTTAAAGTGCGTGCCGAGCCTGTGTTACACTACAGTGGTTAGAGAAGATAGCAGACATTACAAGTGGCGACGAGGATGGGATAAGTACCTATTTAGTATAAAGATATAATCAAAAATAGGTTAGCAATGTGCAACTATTAGCATTGCAATTGTAAATTAATTCCTAGAGTACCCGCGGAAAAAAAACTGTGGATTATGAATTATGATTTATTGTTTTTAACCCTGTTCTGATCATTTTAATAATTTATATAAAATATATGTTCGCATTTGACCACGCTTATGGTGTGCTAAAATTTATTTTCTTTATGTAGCAATGATAAAATAATGATTTATTTTAACATATGTCTATTAGCACAACTTTTATATAAAAAGATTTTTGATGGAAAAATAGTAGATGTTACTAAAAACTCGTCTCGATTCGAACCGAAATACAATGTCGTTAGCTAAATTTTAGTGGCATTTAATGTGATATTTATCGCCTTTAATGAAAATACTATTTTACCGCTTTCATGGCATATATAAGTCTTACAAAAAATCGTGGACACTTCACGACTTCTGTACATTGCAAAGTAGGTAACTAGTAATACTGTTTATTTATTTATTTATTTGCTTTTTAAGGGAAACATACAGTGCAATAATAAATTACATAATAAAACATATAAAAGTAATCCTAAAAACCAATGAAGTTTCCACAGATATCTAATACATAATAAAAGCAAACCACAATATTATTATTGTATAAAATTAAAAATATAAAAGAATAAAACAAGCTAAATGGTATTCATAAATTAAAACATTAAGTAGTAAGTAGTTAAAAGTAACATTATATATACAACTCAAAGTGATACTACCAATTATATATTAAGTTTTACAATATTTTCTTTGTAACTATCATATTCAAGGTGAAAAATATCTAATATTTACAATATTTTAAGTTAAACTTTTGCATGTACGAGATACAAAATTATTTGAGGCATTTTTTTGTTTTAACTTTAGGTAATGCAAAAAGTGGTTTATTTCGTGCACCTAACCTGTGACACGCAAGATTCACCCTGCCTAAAAGTAAGGGAGAGTCGATGATATTATGAAGCAATTTGTACAACAACATTTGATCTCTTATATCACGGCGTTTCTCGAGGGTATTGCTGTCTAAGTTATCAATAATGGTAAATGCGCAATATAGGTATTGAATTTACCCAAAGCCTAAATGGCACAGCGATGGAAGTAGTCGGTATAACAAATAAACCGAAAGAGAAGGGCGAGTGTTATGGAACATATTATTATCATGAAACTGAGTTTGGGTACCAAGATACCAATCATTAAATTGAGTTGGGTACTAAGATACCATCATTAAATTGAGTTGGGTACTAAGATACCATCATTAAATTGAGTTGGGTACTAAGATACCATCATTAAATTGAGTTGGGTACTAAGATACCATCATTAAATTGAGTTGGGTACTAAGATACCATCATTAAATTGAGTTGGGTACTAAGGTACCACCATTAAATTGGAGCTTGGGTACTAAGGTATGTACCACCATTAAATTGGACTTTGGGTTCTAAGTTACTACCATTAAATTGGACTTTGTGTACTAAGTTACTACTATTAAATTGGACTTTGGGTACTAAGTTACTACCATTAAATTGGACTTTGGGTATTAAAATACCAGCATTAAATTGGAAAAGAAAAATATAAGAAACTGTTTCAGTTTGCCACTAAAATAATAATAATAATGATACCGTTATCAGCTTTAATGTGATAGCACATCTATGGCTATAAGGTGTGGAAAATGGGAACGGTCTCTACTAATCTATCTGGACGTAGCTGAAGTTATATCAGCACTCGAGAAACGAGCTACGCTATTGCATTTTGGTGGCTCTGGGATAAAATAAACCGTTGATGTATTTTAAGTAGCAAAATAAAAAAACTCTACGAGTTTTTTCAACCTAAACGGAGCAAAGTTTATGAGCGGCATGTTTTTCGATTGCTAAAACAGAAAAAAGGAGAGACATTTGAGAAGTTTTTGATAAGATTGCGTCAACAAGCCGAAAAGTGTGCATTCGAAAAGCAAGATGATCATTTCATAGATCAAATTGTGGAAAAGTGTAATTCGAAATTGCGCAAGAACCTTATATCTTACAAAACGTGGGAAGAGTTAAAAAACAAAAAAGTATATGCTTTTAATCAAATGTAAAGACCAAACAAGACATTATTAGCATAGGGTAGTAACTCTCCTTTGGCAATAGAGGGTTCATTTGAAACTATACTCGAAGTCGATGGACGAAAGGAACATACAACCATTTACGTGATTTTGGGGGGTACTAGAAACCTGTTTGGTAAGAACACAGCAGTTCGACTGGGTGTCTTAAAACTTGGTATCGGGATAAATCAAGTGGAGAGTAAAAGCAAGCCGATCCCCTTTAAAGAGAAGGTTGCAATCAAAATTAAGGAATCACTAAACAGTGATATAATTGAAGAAGTGCAACGCCCGTCTAAATGGGTTTCACCAATGTTCCAATCATGAAAGAAAATGGTGAATTACGTTTGTGCGTAGATATGAGATGTACGAACGCAGTTATATTGCAAGAAAACCACCCCCTGCCTACTATGGACCATTTTTGCCTAAAATGAAGAAAGCTAAATATTTTAACAAATTAAGACATAAAAAAAATGCCTTCCATCAAGTGGAAATTCACTCTGAATCCAGACACATAACGACTTTTATAACCCCCAAAAGATTATATAGATATAAAAGAATAATGCTTGGAATTACCTGCGCTTCCGAGATTTTTCAGAAGATCATTGAAAGGATGCTGATAAACTGTGAAGGGGTCGTCAATTTTATTGATGATATCCTGGTATTCGGGAACAGTGAAGAAGAACATGATGCATTACTAAAGAAAGTTCTACAGGTACTTAGTAAAAACAACGCCGTGCTGAATAGCAATAAATGCATATATAAAACGCAGGATGTGAATTTTCTGGGACACAGGCTTACACATGAAGGAGTAAACCCTTCAACAAGTACGTTGAGAGCATTATGAAATTTAGGGTCCCAAAGACCATAGAAGAACTCCAAAGTTATTTAGGACTCTTAAACTACATAAACAAATGGATACCTAACTTGGCCGCCATGACAGAACTTCTGAAGCACCTGTTAAGACAGAAGATGAGCAAAAGGGAGAGCTTGGAAAAACAATGGTCTGGAGAACAAGATAAAGCATTCCAAAAACTCAAACGGATGCTCACGGAAATACAGATTTTAGGGTATTATGACGTCAGAGATGAAAGACAGGTGATAGCAGATGCTAGCCCTGTCGGACTTGGTGCTGTCCTTGTACAAAATTATACAAATGGCCCTAGAATTATTGCCTATGGTAATCGAGCTTTGACAGACTGCGAGCGCAGGTATAGCCAAACGGAAAAAAAAGGCACTAGCATTAGTTTGGGGGGTCGAACATTTTAATATTTTTATTTAGAAAGCCTTTTGATTTAGTCACTGACTACAAGCCGCTAGAGATATTGTTCGGGTCTAAGTCAAAACCATGTGCGAGGATTGAACGATGGATACTGAGGCTACAGTCATTCATTCAAGGTTATATACAAGCCAGGAAAAACAAATATAGCACATCCATTGTCACGATTATGTAACTATCCTGATAACCCACCAAAAGGAAAAGACCAGCATGTGTACCAAATAGTGGAAAATTCTAGACCAGTTGCTATACCAATGAGTTCCATTGTAGCATATTCAGAAAAAGAACAAGAGATTTACAAAGTGAAAAAAGGTGTTTATCAGAACGACTGGGACGATTCGATTAAGAAAACGAGTTGTGTTTCCATGATAGCATTCTACTTCGTAGAAATATAATTGTAATACCACAGCAACTCTGCAAGAGTGTATTAGATGCTGCATAAGAGGGTCATCCAGGTATCGTAGCGATGAAGGGACGCTGGAGATCAAAGGTATGGTGGCCCCGTATCGATAAAGACGTAGAACAATTAGTAAAGGCTTGTAAATGTTGTACGTTAGTGGGTTTGCCAAACCCAACTGCACCAATGAGGAGACGAGAGTTGCCTGCAGCTCCATGGATAGATGTCACAATGGATCTAATGGAACCATTGCCAAGTAACGAGTATCTGTTAGTAGTGGTCGACTACTATAGTCGATACAAAGAAGTAAACAATTACAAAAACATCACAAGCTTACAGATTATTAAAATGGTAAAAGAAATGTTCAGTAGACTTGGTTATCCTATTTCTATCACCGCAGACAATGGCAAGCAGTTCATGAGTGAAGAGTTTCGATCCTTCTGCAAAGAATGTAACATTAAGTTATTTAGTACTGTACTATATTGGCCTCAAATGATCGGCGAAGTTGAAAGACAAAACAGAGATATTTTGAAACGTCTTCGTATCAACCAGATCGAGAGGAAGGATTTAAAAGAAATGTTTATGGGAGTATCTTTTAATGTATAACAGCACCCCTCCTTACAGTTACCGGAAAGTTAGCGTCTGAACTGTTTTTTCACCGAAAAAGTAGGGATAAAATTCCATCAATAGGTGAAATAAATTACAGACAATCATTTAGATTCAGATATCAGGGATAGAGACAAAATACAAAAAAGGAAAAGGAAAAGAGTATATATATATAGAAAACGCAGAGCAACTCGCTCAGATATAATACAGGGAGATAAGGTTTACGTAAAAGCAGTGGAAAATAATTGTTATGAGTTATAATGAAAAAAAGAAAAAAATCTTGATAAGAAAGAGATGTAGTGTTTGCTTATATGTAGTATACAGTAAATATTGTTATTTGTTTTATTTACTAATAATTTACCATGCACAAATACACAAACATACATTTATATATAAGTCACTGTCTCGAGCGCACCGCGTCAGTTACACGAGAGCCTCGGGCGAGAGTGGACGTGTTGTTTAGTTAAAGTGCGTGCCGAGCCTGTGTTACACTACAGTGGTTAGAGAAGATAGCAGACATTACAAAAGGTATTTTATAATTTATGATATATTTATATCGATATAAGGAAATAATTTCTGTTCGCGCCAAACGCTGTTTTCGGAATCGATGTCAGAGGGCGTGCGAGTCGATGCCATACCAGTTTGACTTTCGTTCGTGCGTAGAACGCGCGAGCGCAGCAGTCATCTGCCAGCGGTGCTAACGTCAGCACGCTGTCATTTTTTGTTCGAGAACTCGGAATAATTAGGCGCGGCTAGTAAATATACGGTCTAGAATTTGTGACACGCATTCCTTGCTGGAGAGCTTCCCAGAAATAACTGTTGCTACGCGAAGCGGTAGTGACCTTTGATCCGGACACTCCCTGTTAGTTTTGTATGTTAAGCTTTATAACAAACGAGAGTTAGTGGCTTCTGTAAGTTAGTTAATAGTACGATAGAGTTAATGGACTGTCATCGTTACGAATAAAGAAAGTGACTGTGGGTGACTCCGCGGGAGATTACCACATTTTGGAGCAGCCTGGAACTCGGCCGTTGCTGCTCGCCTATGCTTGCCAAGGCCCCACACATTCACACATCACTGTACACTATTCGCCATCTACTATTACACACACTCACGGCCTGCCCAAGCCTTGGTGCGAAGTTAGCTTCGGAGAATGGTAAGTACTATGTGTTTCTAGCTTTCTCCCATATTGTTTATTGTAATTAGGAAATTCCACGTGGCCATATTCTGGCCCCGTCCCTCTGCTGCCCGTCGACGAAATTACTCATGGGCCCTAATCCCGTCACTCTTGGTTGGGGCAGCAACGGGCGTGTACAATTACCAAGTGACATCTTGGGTGATATTGAGTTATATACATCATTAGAATTAGCAAAAAATACTGCGTCGATATGTCATACTTTCGTACCGCTATTTCGTCGCTTGGTAACTTAAAAAAATCACATTTTCCCAATATTCGGCGACCATGCGTCTAAAATTTTACCGATTTATGAATAATTTTCACTTGATAGGTATTCGATTTTAGCTTTATACACTTAGTAATTTTTGCCTTGACTCAAATTAATGCGTTTAAACATAAAGTACCTATTTTATTTCTTACGGTATCTATATAAGCGTTACTTAAAAAAATTTGCCAGATTAAACTATTTTTTCTCGTCATTTAAAACTTTGTAACACACCTTAATTATGTACTCATTTTCATTCGGTATTTTTTTCCTAAACGCAATGGACTTAAAAACGTAATATAGTATTTTGGCTGCCTAAAATAGATATATTTTGTCGTTTGGTAATATTTTACTTGCCGTTTTTGTTTACTATTTTTGTTACTTAGATAACTATTTCTGATATGAAATTTGTATAAAAATGAGCTTATCCCTATTGCATGTATTTTGTTTTGTCACATACACGTACTTTAAAGCAGATTTTGAGTGGATGTTGGTAACAAAATATCGATTACACTTCACCGAACTGTCCCATAGGCAACGTAGTATGGCAAATATACCCAATATATAGTAACTAAAGCTCTAAACAGTTAGGGCTTGATCTTAATTGTGTTGTTTAATTGATAGTTAACCAAAATATTTTCACCCAATATGTTTTTTTGATAGTGAAACGTTTTTGTAATTTTAGAATTTATTTTGATCTCTCAAATTTGTATTACTTTAAACACTTGATAGCAATTTTTTTCTTAGTTGATATTGTGTTTTACCTACCTATACTGATTTTGAAATTACTTATTTCTGTAGTATTAGTGTAATAGTAATTATTTTAGTTTATTTTTACAAACATTTGATTTGAGTATAGTAATATGTATCTTAAATATTTAATGACAGCAGCCCCACGTTATTTACAAAATCAGCTATCCACTTTGCAAGAGATTTGTCTCCAATATTCGTTTGTTAGAAGTTTATGTAGACGTCATTAACAAAGGGTTAATGAAGTCACTGGCCTAAAACCTCCATCAACCCACACTTTTTTTTATAGGATAAGGGTGACAAACGAGCACACAGTCCACCTGATGGTAAGTGGTTGCTGCGGCCCATAGACATCTAGAGCAGCGTGGTGGTTTATGCTCTAATTCATCTCTCATCAGATGGAAGCTCATACTCAGCTGTGGCTGATTGTAGATCACTACAAGGGCTGTAATGATGATGATGATGACGATGTCCGTCGAAAACCTTTGTCCGAAAGTCCTTGATTTTGTGTAGTAAAACCTTTATTCATTGTTACTTGTTCAAAAAAAAATCCTACACTAACCTTATTTCACTTGTACTATGATTAAAATTGGTTGGCAGAATACTTTTTTAATTTCTATTTAGATTTTTTATAGGATAAGGGTGACAAACGAGTACACAGTCCACCTGATGGTAAGTGGTTGCTGTGACCTATAGACATCTACATCTATCGTCTATTACAAATCAAAATGCAGATGCGTTGTCATCCATGAGGACTAAGATGGAATGCCTCATTTCCAGTAAAAAGGGTCTCCGGTCCTTTACACTCACCGTACGCGTTAAGCTGCTATTTTACGCTGGTATTCTGTGAGAGCGTGGTCCTTCCCCGGTCGGGCCGACCCATTCGTGCTACAACTATACTATTAATATAGCTGCAGGGTGGCTCTACCACCTAAAAAATGATTTTTACCCACTCGTTTATGTCAAATATGCGTTTTTTTTTCATAAAATAAGTATGACAAACGACTCACAGTCCACTTGATGGCAAGTGTTTGTGTGATGTCTACCTACATCTATCTTCGATTACGAATCAAAATTTGCAATGCGTTGTCACCCGTGAGGACTAAGGTGGAATGCCTCTTTTCCAGTAAAAAGGGTGGAAGGAAGAGTTCTACATGCAAGTAGACGGAGTTGCAATGGGCTCACCTGTATCTCCAGTAGTCGCCAACATATTCATGGAAGACTTTGAGGAGAAAGCCCTTCTTACTGCTCCTGTAAATCCAAGATTCTACAAGCGGTACGTTGACGATACTTTTACAATTTTACCATCTGACAAAGTAACTGCATTTTTAAACCACCTTAATTCCATAAACCCTAAAATACAATTCACAATGGAGTTAGAGGGAAACAATTCTTTAGCTTTCCTAGATGTTTTAGTCATCCGAAATCCTGACAACACAATTGGTCATACTGTGTACAGGAAAAAGACCCATACCAATCGATATTTAAATGGTGAATCGCACCATCATCCTTAACAGTTCGCTACCGTGGGAAATTCTTTGTTTCAGATAGAAAACATCTAGCCGTCGAGCTTCGCAACGTCGAGCAAGTACTGCAAGACAAAGGAGACCGGACAAAGGTCATAGTCCGGACTTCTTTTAGTTCGCAGCGCTGCGTGTTTTGCCAGCTCGTCAGCTCGTTCATTTTCTGGAAAACCCGCATGGGCTTTAATGCAAAAGAGTTGTAATGTTTTTTGTTGCCCCAAGTCCCTGTAAACCCCGAAAGTTGTCTCCGCGCTAGAAAGGATCCGCTCAGTTGCCATGTATATGGCCAGTAATTCTGCCTGGTAAACAGTAACGGTAAACGGTACAGTAGTCCGACAGTTTGAGCTTCAGAGTTCGGATCTCGGCGGCACTATTCCAAAAATATAATGCCGGTCCAACCTTTCCCTCTATTTTACTCCCGTCGGTAAATATTCGGAGACTCTGGATGTTGTTGAGTCTTGTTTCGTCCTCATTTACCAGGCATATGAATTAGTCGTCATGCAAGTTCATATCGGACGCCGGATGAGGCAATTCCGTGCAGCTCACCTTTGTTTCCACCACTCGGTCTGCCAGTACTCCTCTCTTTGCTTCAAAAAGTGATGCTGCTTCTTGGACTCTTAAATCCTTTACGGTACGCTTTTATGATTTTTTGAGCGAATCCTCTCTGCACAGTATTTAGTTGCTTTCTGACTCCCAACATTTTAGCGGCTGACGCCCACACGCTCACCGCGTACAATACTACCGGCTCAACGACCGCCGTGTACATCGTCCTGATGATCTCTGGTTGAAGGCCCCAACCAACCTTTGCAGCTCTCGATAGTTGTCCGTAGAGTGCTGTAGCCTTCCTACTCACATTTCTCACATGGGTGTTGAAGGTGAGTTTCTTGTCTGCGGTGACACCAAGCACCTTAATCTCCTCCGACTTGCCAATGCCTATCCCGCTCATGTTGAGACGTGGAGAATCGTATTTCAATTTGTTAGTTATAACCATAGCATTAGTCTTATGTGGCGCGAATTTGAGTTTGTTACGGATTCCCCACCTCCGAAAATGTTCAAGAGCGGCATTCGCACGTCTTTGGATCTCAAGAGCCGTGTCACCCGCAAACAACAGGACGTTGTCGTCGGCAAACGCTTGACACCGATCACCCCTTTTCTCCAGCTCTTTAAGCAAAGGGTCCAGAAGCAAGTTCCACAGAACCGGACTACCTATGGAGCCCTGTAGGCACCCCTTTGTGGTTGTTTGTGTTTGCTCCATACCCGCATACCTCACTCTAACTTTACTGTCCTGGAGATAACTGTCAATTAATTTCGTAATGTTTATGGGGCATCTTTCCTCAGCCAACCGACATCTAATTGCTGGCCACCAAGCACTATCGAATGCTCCCTCTATGTCAAGAGATATCATGGTCACTATCTTCTTATTTCGTAACTGTCTACGTATGTAATCCATCATGTCATAGAGGGAGTCTTTGGTGCTTTTCTGTGGTGTGAAGCTTGGTTTCACACCACAAAGAACCACTGAGAACTAAAATCTGGTTTAATGTGCCACCTTACCCTTCTTATAACCATCTTCTCCAGTACTTTTCCCATAACTGATAGTAGACCTAAAGGTCTGTAGGCCTTCGGATGTGTGTAATCCTCCCTTCCTGGCTTTCGTAGGACCACAACTACTGCTTCCTTCCATATTATGGGGAAGTGTCCTAACTCAAGGCATTTATTTGCAAGACTCAAGTAAATACCGGGGTTTTGGGAAATGGCCTCTCGGCAGATATCAGCCGTGAAGCCGTCCCCTCCTGGAGCCTTTTTTGGTTTGAAACTGTTCAAGGCATAATTTAGCTCAGAGATAGTGAATTGCATTTACTTCTTAGGCTATTTCTCTTATACGCTCCGGGTAAAAGGTTTCTGCTCATGGTCTTCACGCCGTTTTGCTGTTCTGCCGATTACCCGATACATCCCGTCCCATAAGCTTTCTTTGTTCTGTTTTCCACAGAACTCCTTCCAGCTTCTGACTTGGGCCTTTTTTGCTTCATACTCATATTTGTCTTTCGCTTCTAGGTCCTTCTTGACGACGGCGGCTCGTCGCACCGCGGCAGCACATCTTATGAGGTGGCTCAGGACCGTGCTTTGTGGCAATCCTTGGGGGAGGCATATGTTCAGCAGTGGACTAGTGAAGGGCTGTAATGATGATAATGGCATGCTTCGTATTTAGTTAAAAGGTACGGTTCTTTACACTCACCACCATACGAAACACAGCAACATTGGGCTGTGTGAGAGTATAGTTATAGTTCTTCCTCGGTAGAGTCGACTCATTCGTGCTGTAACCATAATAGAGTTGCAGCATAGCTCTACCACATACAACTACCATCTGTAATACATCAGATATAAAATACCCAAACAAGTGCGGGTTGCTACCCGCACTAGTTTGGGTATCTTGAAATAATTTGTTAGTCAGATCAGAAATGCGGAGATATTGTAATAGGTCTTTGCCACCTTACGATCCCTCTATAGTCTAAAGAACTTTCTTACTGTCTCGACTAAGCTGACACTTGTGCAAACACTTATAATTCCCATAATTGATCATGGAGATGTGTGCTACCCAGATTTGAACTAAAATCTGCTTAATAAGCTAGAGCGCCTTCTCAATAATCGTATTGGATATATATTTGGTCTAAGAAAATATGATCACATCTCTCATTGTCGTAATTGCCTAAAATGGCTCACTATTCTAAAAAGACGAAACTATAGAATTGTGCTTGTTATTTTCTAAATTTTTAATAATCAAATTTCTCTGACATATCTTAAGGATAAATTTCAGTATCTGTTTTCATCTTATGATAATGTTCTTCGCTCCTCTTCTAATCAATAATATCGGCATTCCATCTCATTTCATTAGGTTAACCATCAATTCCTTTACTATTCAGACAATACTACTCTGGAACTACTTGCCCGAAAACGTAAGAAGAGCGCCGGAAAAAGCGCTGTTAAGACGTTCAGAGTGATGATGATATATTTCTATATATTAAGATGTATTATTATTTACAATTTGTAATAAATGTATATATATATTTATTTAGAATTGCACTGTCTTTGCTCTGTTTGTCTGTTTGACTGGCAGAGAATGCCGATAGACATTAATTCCGCAACAGTGTTACAAACTATTTTATTAATGTGTTAACAATAAAGGTTAAATAATTAAATTAAATATTTAAAAAAGTCTCTTCGAGACTAATAATTGACTCGATACCCGAAGTATCAGTAATCCCCTCATGGGGCAATGTATATACTTTTATGAGAAAGCCACTAAAAATATGCAGGACTTATCCAAGAAAAAGTTTTAAAATGTTTATTAGGCATAATTTTTTTAATAAGGGTTATGTAATTATTAAAGAGTACATAATTGTTGAGAACCTGAGAACCTGAGGATTGAGGTGTTCGCTACCATACTGCTTCTAAATATTTTCATGCTTAATTGTATAAAATATAATATCGTAAATTAATGTTTAAAAAAGTCCCCCTGGGTTTATTGCTTGTTCTTCCCAGGGCAGAGATTTTTTTTCCAAACCATTGCTTCAAACATGTTATTTATGTATTGAATAAAAACTATTCTAATTAAATTATAGCACATAAATGGAAATAAAATAACTTCAGGTCATACAAATAGTTGTTCCCTGCGGAATACGCAACCGCGGACCGCATCGCGCAACAAAACATCTGCCTTACATACTCGTCAATCATAATTACTCTTATAATTGTATCAATAAATGCAAATCGAAAATTTTAGACGTAAATTAATTTTACATTCTTAACGTTTAATTACATTCATTTTTTTTAAATTAAATCACGACGTTCCGAAAAATTAAATTAAGCAAACGCGTTTCATTACTTATCCTAATTTATATTTCATTCCCTATGTTCTTTTAATGGAACATGGGTGACAAACTAGCACACAGTCTACCTGATGGTAATTGAACGCTGTAGCCTATAAACATCTACATATATCCTTAATAAATTTTATAACAATCTCATTTTTATAATAGTTTGTATTTATTATAAGAGCAAGGGAACCTGCGCTTCATTAAGGCATGAGATAATAGGCTTTTGGTACGCTAAGCCTGTGCGTTTTACCATAAAGTTTCGTCATTCACCACCAGATTGGATTATAGTTAAGCATTGTAATTATGCAAAATTTAAAGAACTTATTTTTAACTTCCCGCCATGAAAATCAATGATTTTTAACTCGGTTTTCGAAAATCAAGTTCTCATCAGATCTTCGTGTGTGTGTGTGTGTGTGTGTGTGTGCATTCGTGCGGTGAGTGCGTGCGTGCTTACATGCATACGTGCGTGCGTTCGTGGGTACGTGTGTGCGTGCGTTTGTGTGTGTCTGTGTGTGTGTGTGTGTGTGTTTGTATGTGTGTGCCATTAGATTTCATGTAATTTTAATCAATTTGGGTCGATAGATTTTGAGAAGTGTCAACAAAAATCTGTGACAAAATGTTTAGTATGAAATCAATATGTTTATAAAAATCAACAATCACAAATTTCCAAGTACGAGTAGAGACATGCTGCAGTTATATTATGGTTGCAGCACGAATGGTTCAGCTCGGCCAGGGAAAGGTCACGCTCACACGTAATACCAACCTCAAATAGCAGTTGTGTTTCTCATGGCGACTGTAGAGAACTAGAGACCTTATTTTTCTGGTAACGAAGCACCCTGTCGTATACCTCGGGGGTGTGTTAGTAGAGACTCCGAAAACTATTGGAATAAATGAACACTGCTCGGTAACGATTTTACCTAAAATATTCATGGACTGCATTAGAAGTTTATACTATTAAAATAAATGAAGTATACAAACTAAAATGCTGCATTTACCTACATTGTGTATAAAATAAGGGTGAAAAACGAGCACAGTCCACCTGCTGATAAGTGGATGCTGTGGGCCATAGACTGACATCTATCATCGAATATGATTCAAAATACAGATGCGTTGTCATCACTGAGGACTAAGATGGAATGCCTCGATTCCAGTAAAAAGGGTCTCCGGTTCTCTACACTCACCATACGAAACACATTAACGACGTATAAGGCTATATGGTTTTGTGAAAACATTGTCCAATCCCGGAAAAAATAATGAACATAAACTAAAATATAAACAAATATGAAAATGTTATCATGCTGAAAATCAAAGAAGTACAATACATGAAAAGAATACTGCCCGACATTTTTCAATACTATTTTGTCAACAACACCAAAGGCAAGCAAATAAAGTCAGCTCTATGCATAGAAACGAGTTTCATACAACTTGCTCGCGCACTTACTTCAAAATAAGTCAAGTGTGAATTTGAACTTGAATAGACGATTTTAATAGTGAATTTGAACCTGAATAGATTAAAAAAACTATATAAAACAGGCAGACATTCAGGGCAGGTGAAAAAATTATTATTAATTTAGTTGTGATCCGACACGGCTTCAGAAAAAAAATGAGTGATTTTTTTACGATGCAAGCGCACACCGACACCTCTAAGCGATAACTTCATTTGGTTTCTTGGGAACTGATAACTATATTTAAGGTAGTTAATTTTAGTTATTTTTGTTTTGTTACATTAACGAAGTATACTTGCTACGTACCTACATAAGTACACACACACGTTTGTTTTTTTTACCATGGACTGTAATTGGACTGTAATTTGGGATATGCCTATGTTGCCTATATCCTATTCTGGTTTGTCATTTGTAATATTACCAAGTTTTATCAAAATCCGTCTTGGAGTTTTTACGTAAATAAGCCACTAACATACAAACAAACATTCACATTTGTAATATACTTATATTATGTAGGTAGTATTATATCATAAATAGAATCTGTGGTTAACTGTTCTGTTAGTTACTCTATTAAACCTATGAAAAAAGATATTTCCTGTTACTTATCAACATGGGATCTTTGCACAAGAATATTTTTGATCATAGTGTTTTCAGTTTTCAATTTATTCATAGATACGTGTAAATTGGAAAGGTGCAAAGCGAGTAACTGTCATTCGATCTAAACTGAAGGCTTATTCCCGAAATTGTTTTCGAATTCGATTCTGTTTTCGATGTAAAATGAGGTTTTTTAAACTTATTTCAAAAGCTTACGCCCTTACTAATTCGAATTAAGAAACGCGATCAAGTCACTATCAAGCGTTATCAGCGCCGTTGAATATTCATGGCGACTGAATGTGTGTGTATGTATGCATTCGTGCGGGAGTGCGTGCGTGCTTGCGTGCACGCACGTTCAATGAACGCACGCACGTATGCACGCAATGTGCGTTCAATGAACAGATATTTCATTATCTGTAGATCATTTTTAATGGATTACAAATTTACTTCTTAACTATTTTATAACATTAATAAGACAAACTATTTATGGTTTAAGCGTTCTCCTTGAATACGATTACAAGCCTAAGGAATCTGTTTCAATTCATTGAAATGCCAAACTACTTTTGTTGGTAATCCAAGGTTGTTGGTTAAGTTCAATCAAACAGACTCTCCCCTTATATCATAATCATCATTCATTATTACAGCCTTTCATAAGTGCACTGCTGAACATAGGCCTCCCCCAAGGAATGCCACAAAGCACGGTCCTGAACCACCTGCATCCATCGACTTCCTCCATGTCTTACCAGGTTGTCACTCCATCTCGTGGGGGGTAGCGCTACACTTCGCCTACCGGTACGAGGCGGCCACTCAAGAACCTTTCTTCCTCATCGGTTGTCGGTTCTTCGAGCTATATGGCCGGCCCACTGCCACTTCAGCTTACTAATACGTTGGGCTATGTCGGTTACTCTGGTTCTACTGCAGATATACTCATTTCTAAGTTTAT